GTTGAATAAGCGATAAGACAAAAAGAAACTAGAGTAGATCTCCCCTCACCAACATAGAGTTGCTGGGTGGGTAGATAGCCATGGGACTCCTCTTCTGCATGGGCAGGGCCACCAATGGAGGTCTCTCTCTGCTGAATGGGGGTTTGTTCAGGGCCTAGGCCATGATGAAGAGCGGGAATGGAAAGTTTGGTTTAAGCTGTTTTCTAATGGTTGCAATGATTGTTCCAGTTGTCTATCGTGCAGTTTATGCACGTTTTTATTAATAATGGAAAGAGCAATTAGTAAAATCAGTCTGCCACCATTCACACACAGTAACACAGATGCTGTATCTTACCTTATGAAGCACAACAGCTAGCACGATGGCGAGCAGCAGTAGGGCAATGCCTGCCATCACTACAATGAACCACAGTTCCCGGACAACTTGCCTCTCCTCTTGGCCTCCCTCTGCCCTCTCACCTCCTCCTCCTCCTCCTCCTACAAGAGGAGTGGGGTTTGGTGAATCTGGAATGATAAATCAGTAAATACCATAAAGGCACTATGTATTACGGTAATTTTGCACAAAGCTATTCTGTCTTCATTAGTCTTTATAGTCTCTTTTTTTATTTTGCAGATATCATCTGAATATACAAGCAAGAATGATGATAAAATGAAAGATTCACAGATAAAGTAAAAGCGTAGTATGCACAGTTGTGACTTGTAGGGTCATACAAGTCTATCATGTAGGGTTTAGATTGCATGTCACAAATCAACACTTAGAGAAAGAAAGATGATCAGATGCTTGCCGAGGAAGAGATAACACTGTAACTGGAGACACTCTGGCTTGCTTGGCCTAGTTTCTAACCTTCGCAGAAAGCAGCAAAGACCACACTTTCATTCCATTTATACTTTAACAGAGACCATGACTGGCAGTGGATATTGGTGGATTAAAGAGCATATACTGCAGGTAGGCCCCTGAAGGCAAAAAGATGCTGTATAATGAGCATAACATGTGCAATATTTCATGCAGTTTTCCATCATGTTCCAACATTCAGTACCAGCCTATTTCTGCCCAAGATGTTGCAGACACTGCAAACTGACAGCAGGTGAAAAATGATGAAGGGGTCGGTGGAAAAAGTTGTTGTGTGGGAGAAGTGGGACTCACCGGTGCTGATGTCCGTTGTTCGGCCTGTGGCGGGGGGTGCTGACAGCCCCTCGCTGTGTGACACATCGATCAGAAGGGCAAAGACCTGCCAGGCGTTTAGGATCACCACTGTCCACCCATCGCTATTTTACATCTGATACTTTTATTTGCTGACTGGCTCCCTTCAGGACTCAACACTCAATTGAGTCCAACCATGTCTTGTTACAAATTAATCCCAGACAGCAGGAGGAAGACAAAACACCTAGGATCATAGCTCAAGAAGCCTTGAAAAAAGCTGCATTTGAGTCCTTCTCCACCTCCGATCAACCCCCCAGCGGTGCCATGGTAACAGCCAGGTGTCTGGTTTCAGCTCACCTGAAGAGGCATGTTAGCATATCACCTCTCTGATCACTCCAGTGTATTGCTAGTGTGAGTCATTTCTTATACAGCCTGTCTATAAGTATGGACACTCATATCAACTGATGGCAGATGGAATAGTTATACAAGCTAAGCTAAGCTAAGCTACACTAAAAGCTAATAGGTGCACTTTGAAAATATATCTTTGTAATAAGAAACAAAAACCAGACTAGCTCCAACAGAAGAGCTAGTATTCAAATATGGAGGATGAACACAATAAATGTAGTGTAAGACACAAGAATGTCTATATTCCAAATATGTAATCTGTCTTTCTGTCTTTCTGCCTGTTTGTTAGCAGTTTGGCATCCACAGTTTTCAACCTATCAAGTTCAAATTTTGTGAGATGGTAGATACCAGTAACAGCTCCAACCAAATTACTTTAGGTGAAAGATCAACATCACATCCAAATTAGTGTGAAAATCAGTAAAACTTTTATATTGCCTACAATTTTTTTTATGGATTTTCTTTAAATTTCAAAACAACATACTAGGTCATGGGGGACATGGGTGCCTAGGTTGGCTAAGCATTTAAGCGTGACCTTAGCGTCCTGTATATCATATGAAAGGCCACGG